CGCCGCCGCCGCCATCAACGGCGATGAGGAGTGGAGTAAGAAGGCCGATGCCGACGCCATGGAGGTTGAGCGTGTGAATGCCGCAGTGGTCGCCAATAACGGAACCCTAGATCATGAACATCCTGCTGCAGATCAAGCGACAATTCTCCCTGGAGGTTAAAACTTGGTTCTAACCCTAGTTCTAGTTGATCATTTCTTTTTATTTTAGATTGTTGGCGCCTATGGTTAAATCTGGAATAATACAGATATATAACAGCAAAAACTGAATAGAAAACTGAAGTACAGTAATTTAAAATTTTCCAACTCAGCTGTTGTGCGTTTGGAAAACACTGTGCTTAAAGCATTATTTGGTACTCCGGTGCAAGGATCCCAATGCCAAATTGCTTCCAGGAACATCAGTCTAGTACTCTGGTGTGCACCGACCCAGTACTGTCAAGATCTCCTCGATCTATCAGGCAAAGATCTCATCGATCTATAAGACAAAGATCTCCTCGATCTATCATGTAAAGATCTCCTCGATTTATAAGACAAAGATCTCCTCGATTTATAAGACAAAGATCTCCTCGATCTATCAGGCAAAGATCTCCTCTATAAGACCTTCTCGGTCTACGCATTGTTCTTATGAGCACTAGCTATTCTACAACATATATATCTGTATATATTAATTGTTGTTTTTTGAATGAATTTTTCTTAAGGATTTGGGGTCTATTTATAGCGTTTGGAAAAACACTATGTACAAAAAAAAATATATTATTTACTATACATGTGGGATCCACGTCCAAATTTTTTTCAGTGGGGGCCCACCACTTTATTTAATTTTAAAGTTCAGCATCCCACGTTTTGTTTCTTTTTTGCCTAATCATGTGGGAACCGCTAGCTTTTAATTTAAAAAAATTATCTAACATAGATTTGGTGGTTTTGCGATGATGCTGAATAGTGATTGTTCTTGATCTTTTGATGTAAAAATTTTTAGCACAGACAATTTAGTTTGAATAGTTTGATTTGGTGATTTAATAGAAAATAAGCATTTAAAAAAATCTAGATGGAAGAAGTAGGATTCGGTGGTTTTGTGATTATGGTGATTCTTAAAAAGTTTGGACACAAGTATTTTGTTTATTGAAGAGATTGAGGTTTGAAGTTTTTTCTTTGGTGTGGTCTAAAGGAAGTTACGAAAAAGCAAAATTAGACGTAAGAAGAAGTAGGGACTTACGCTGTTTAAATGCCTATAAGATAGGAAGAGATTGCAAGAAAGAAACTATCAATGTTACAGAGGCAGACTAGGCGTATGGGCTAGGGACTAGCGCATAGACGCCGAGACATACGCCTAAACATTTGACTTTTTAATTAAATAATTATAATAATTGACAAAAATAAGATTTTGATCTTATATTTTTAATTAACTAGATCGTTTAACTCTTACATTCTAGCTCATACAATATTAAACTAAAACTGAACAAGTCTAACTAATTAACTAAATAAAAAATAGTGAAAAAAATAAAAAACAGTGAAATTTTAAGAAATTATTTTGAAGAGAAGAGAAGGAGGAGATTCAGCTAGTGAGGTGGTGGCGATAGTGCAAAGAGAAGGAGGTCGACGTGGTTGTGGCGGTGGGAAAAGAGGATATTGGTATTGCAACAGTGATGGTGTCCGAGAGAAGAGATGAAGAGAGAGAGAGAGAGAGAGAAAGAGAGCGAGAGTGGGTGGGGGGTAGAGGATGTTTCGGTGAGCTGCAGGGGTTCGTCGAGATAAGAGCATAGAGAGAAGAGGAGATGGATGCGGGGGTCCATTGTGGGGGTTCATTGAGAGAAGAGGAAACATAGGAGAAGGTGGTTGCGGTTTGTGGCTACTGACGTTCATCGAGAGAAGAGGAAAGAGAGAGAAGAGGAGGTTGTAGTGGTGGTGATTGTGTTAGATATAAGTGCCCTGTAGGTAATAATTGTATATTGTAACATGACCTATATGAATATAACATCATTGTTTAAAATAATAGTATGTTATTTTGGTCAGATTTATCTGGTATTTTAATTTAGATAAAGTCCTTAGAATGATACCAGACTATCAGACATTTCAGATATGATCGTAATGAAAAGATCTGATTTGTCACTGACGTATATTCTAAAATATTCCTAGTCAATGAAGTATTGAAAATGGGACATCATCACTTTGGGAAGACTAGTGTATACTCTATTTCGCCTTTGGTAGGATGATGATCCATCTCTTGGATCATTGATGTGAGACATCAAGATATAGTATACATGTGACTCATTAGTGAATGAGTTGACTGAACGACTCACTGAGAACATCTAGTTGGTAATTATACTTGACTGTCAAATAGAAGTTCTCAGGTGATATAGTACGAAATAGTCTCATGACCTGAGGCATGAGTGCAATATCTTACATGTCAGTATAGGTGTACTTAGACTTTTACCTAACCACAGTTCTTATCGAGTTGTGCATAACGGTTCTTGTTGGGTACATCCCAATGCACAAGTATATATTGAGATGCTAATATGGGATTCGTCTCTACCAGTATAGGGGGTTAATGTCATAAGATTATTTGATATAACTATAACCTGAAAATTCTTGGCCGAGGTAAATAAGATAAACTGAGTGTCAGTTTGATCTTATAGGTTATGAGTTTAATATCAACAAACACTAATTGAGCAATTAGGGTTTGACAGTTTTCCATACCCTAGGCTTAATAGTTTGATATGGTTTGACGAAGAAACCGGACTGTACGGTATTATCACTGAGTAGTCCTGATAAAATTATGTAAGCATCTTGCAGACATTTATCACAACTAATACCAGGGTAGTCTTCATGTGTAGCTAGCACCTCTGTTGTACTTGTGGATATGATCCACTGCCGAGTCTTATAGTTGGGCCCTAGAGTCATACTAAGCACGTACTTAAATCTTATGAAATATAAATTGATAGAGTAATGTGTATGATTGATACGCATATATGATTTTCACCGGATACACATAAACGGTTATATGTATCGGTAAAATCAGAATGCTATGTGCTTAAGAAATAAATTTTAGTATTTTTCCCATAAAGTTAACTTTTAGTCAACTAGTTGACTTTTTGGTCAACAGTTGACTTTTGGTCAACAGTTGTCTTTTGGTCAACTCATTGACCTTTTGGTCATATGATGACTTATTAGTTAATAATTAGAAAATTACGAAATACCGTATTGATGTGGTATTTTCATTTATGAAATACGAACTTTATTATATCTTGATTAATGAGTCATGAGATGAGTCATTAAGGTGGTATGGTTTGGGAATATGGTTTTAGCACATAGTTTTGATTCTTCATGATTCATTACATGACTCATGAGATGAGTCATTGCATGACTCATGAAAGAATCATTGTTTTGATGACTCATGGTGTGACTCATAGGATGAGTCATTCATGTCATGACATATTCTTCCTCTATAAATATGAGCTCTCTTTCTTCTTTCATGGTTAATGGAAAAATAAAATAAATGGTTTATTCATAGTTGCTTTCCATAAAAGAAAAGAAGAGAGATCTACCTCTTACAAAACTCTATCAATCTTTGAGTAAGAGAAAGTAGTAGGATTTTAAAGTACACCAGGGTGGATATCTTGCCTTGTGTCTCAAGAAGACTCTGATTTTATCAAGCTCACTTGAAGACTTGGAGATCCACTACGAGGAGATTTACTACTACAAGGAGCAAGAGCTAGGGGTTGTTCGATCATCCATCGAATCACGCTTCAAAAGTATGACTTTATAACCATTGTATGCTCTCTTTAATATAGGGATTATGTTAGATTTAATTAGGATGGTCTTATTTTGTATTTCATGCTCTCTACATGCTTAGTAATTTTATACATACTATCTTCCGTTGCATATTTTGCATGTTTTTAGCATGAATTTCCAACAGGTTGTGGTGGTCATCACAGGGGTTTGTCGAAAGGAGGAGGTGACTATGATTGTGGGTGTTAGAGTTTGGGAATTTGGAGAAATACGAGAGAGAGAGGGGGGTTGGTTTTAAGTTTAGCGGGTCGGGTTCAGGTTTACGGGCCGGGTAAAAACAAAAAAAACTCTCTTTGTTTTTTAATGGGCTTGGATTGCGCAGCAGGGTATTATTATTATTTTGCTTATGAAAAGCTACGTAGTCAACTTTTTTTTGCTTATGAAAAGCTAGGCAGGTTGCCTAGCCTTAAGCGGAGCCTAGGTGACACCTAGGCAAGACTACTGCCTAGATTGGCCGCTCCGGCCAAATCTAAGTTGCTGGAGGTCCGCATAAGCTTTTTTTGCTTATGAAAAGCTAGGCTGGTTGCCTAGCCTTAAGAGGAGCCTAGGTAACGCCTAGGCAGG